TTTGTTTTCTCTTTTCTGAAATATTGGAAGCCTTGAGTTTCTTGTACATACTGCTGTTGACTCTCTCTGTGTTGGATGATCCAAGTTCTAACTGCGTTTTTGTTAGTTTCAGTCTATGATGACTTTTTCTTTGTCCAGGTGTTCTGTGTGCTTTAGCTTCTTGCTGCTCTACTTCCAGACTTCTTGTCTACCGTCATTTTCCTGCAGATGATAGTTTGATTGTGAAGATCTGGATTCACTTAATATTTATTTCAGTGCTAGAATCAGAATATTTGTTTCACTTCTCTGAAGAGGAAATGCAAATGGCCAACAGACATATGAAAAAATGTTCAACATCGCTTGTAATCAGGGAAATGCAAATCAAAACTACCATGAGATACCATCTCACACCAGTGAGAATGGCACATATTAAAAAAACTAGCAACAACAAATGTTGGCGAGGGTGTGGAGAAAAAGGAACTCTTCTGCACTGTTGGTGGGAGTGCAAACTGGTCCAACCACTGTGGAGAGCTGTGTGGAGATTTCTGGACCTACTAAACATAGAACTTCCATATGATCTAGCAATTCCACTCCTAGGTATTTACCCAAAGGACACAGAAACATCAATTCCAAAGAACACCTGCACACCTATGTTTATAGCAGTACTATTTACAATAGCTAAGCTTTGGAAACAGCCCAAATGCCCAAAAATAGATGACTGGATCAAGAAGATGTGGTACATATACAACCATGGAATATTACTCAGCATTCAAAAAAGACATGCAATTTGCAGCAACATGGATGGCATTGGAAGGGATCATGCTCAGCAAAATAAGCCAAAAAGAAAAAGAAAAATACCGGATGGTCTCACTCATAGCAGGAATCTAGAAAACTTAAATAAGGGACCAGGAAAATGAATAACTATAAGAAAGTGAAAATCAAAATCAACAAAAAACTATGAACCAGAGACACTTTTTGGGGGTGGGGGGGGCGGGAGGGGAGGGATTGGGGTCAGAATGGGGCGTTTGCAATTGTATGGGGGAATATAAAAATAAAATTTATTATTTAAAAAAAAATAAAAAACAAACAAACAAACAAAAAAAAAAACCAGAATATTTGTTTCAAATCCTACTGATAAGTGATAGGGTAGTGATGAGACAACAATGCGGTATTGAACAGAGTCTTTACAAGGAGGTGAGACAGGGAGAGACTACAAATGAAATGTTTATTGATAAATTTGTTCATAATATCCTACTTTATGCCTTACTTGAACATAACATATGTACTTTATTATTCATATCATATATCCCTACTTTGAGAAGATGAAGGAAATAGTGACTTGGTCTGGGCAATGATCTGATGTTTAGTTTTGTTGGGACTCAGCAGAGTACAAATAAAAGTTTTTGTTCTTAGCATTTTTTGAATTTTATTAGTTGTTGGTTATGGGATGCCTGTGGTCTGATTTTATTTATTTATTTATTTATTTATAAAGCTCCAAATAACAGCACCATTACATTATATTTTGTTATCAGTTCGGGACTAAATTCAGAAATCTTTGATTCTGATAGGGATTCCCTGATTATGTCATGAGAAAGAAATTGAGAGTTTTGAAAAATTATAAATGCATTCCCCACTTATACAAAAATTCAGCTTCCTAACACTTACAATATTATATATCCTAACAGACATGTTGGGAAAAAAACATGTGGTTGAGAAATGCTTTCTGAAAGAATCTCATGCTATAGGGAGAACATTTTGAAAACAGATGTTTGGAAAGGTTTTCCTCATCATGTGAGCTCAATGCTAAAATCTGTCTAGGTGTGTCATCCATAAAAGTGCTCATCTCTGCATACTTAAAAAAAGGAGATGGAATTTTCAAGGGTTTTTGAATTCATTTGTGAAAAATAAATTGCCATACATTTTGTGTAATTGACATAAAGAAATGTAGAAATTTGGTCATTGAATTTAAACAAAATCTGAGCATGACTGGTTAATGAGACTGAAAGAGTATCATGTTTAATAAACTCAGCCAATGATTAGTAGTTTTTTCCATATGTAATGTGGTACTCAATAATGGTCCCCCCACCCATGCCTTTCTCCCTCCCCTTCACCCCTCAAAGGTATTAGGTCCTAATCCCTGGAATCTGTGATTGCTGCCTTATGTGAAAAAAAGGGTCTTCGAAGATGTGATTAAAATAAGGACCTTGAAATGGGAAAATTATCCTGGATTATTTGAGTAGTCCCTAAATGCAATCAAAAGTGTTTTTGTAAGAGGCAAAGGATGTTTTGACACCAGAGGAAGAAACAGTGACCAGAGAGGAATTGTTGCTTTCACAGGTACGGAATGTTGGCCACCTCCAGAAGCTTAAAATGGTCAGGAACATATTATCCCTGGAGAGAGTGCAGGGCCCTGCTAACTCCTTGATTTCAGCCCTCCTGTGTTTCTGGCCTTCAGAATTGTGAGAGAATTTGTTTTTTATGCCATCAAGTTTGGATAATTTGTTATAGCAGCCACTGTAAGCTAATACATACATATTTCACAAACTTTTCAAACAGTGAATCATTTATTAAAACCAAGTCTTAAAATATATTGAAATTAGAACTATTAAGTTGCTTTTTCACAAAGGGTTGAGATGACATTTTAAAAAAGTGAAATAAAAGGAAAATGGAATCTTTTGAATGAATAATTGTGTAAAATATATCATTGCTTTGTGACCTCAGAGATTTTGACGTCATTACTAAGTAGAACTACACTTGAAGTCTTTGTATTTTCTTTCCCATCCTTTAAGTGTCTATTTTGTATGTTTTTATGAATACATTGGTATTTTGGTAAGTCTGTATAATTTAAAGTTATAATGCAAAATAAATCAACGTATGTTGGAATGTGTCATCAAATAAATTTGGAGAATTTGCTCTAAGATTATTGGCATGATTAAATGAGATAAATGGAAAAACTCTTGGACCATGTAGGCTCAGTATGTGTTGACTGACTGTGTAAATGGATGGAGATTGAGAAAATGGAGGGTCCTAGTTTCAACTTCCAGGGAAGTGTGACTCATGATGGGGACCTCATTGTGGGCCCAGGTGTGTTTGATTTGAAAACAGGTGATCTCTCCACTTTACCATCTGATGGGGAAGTGTGCTTGTTATAATCTTCCATTTCACAATTTCACGATAGGTAAATGAGATTTAGTCATGAACTTAAGAGAGTTGCCACATCTCAGCATTGGCATGGTTTGGGAAGAAGCAGGGAGTGCAGGATCAAGGATGGCCTGAGCAGGCAGGGGATTTCTACACTGAGTGGTGTTGGGAAAAGGATTTGGGCAGTTATAGAATAGGCTGTGGAACTCGCTCTGCTTTCCTGTGGTTCACTCAACAAGACAAGCAGCTTTAGGCTTTTGCCTGAATGTGAGAGGCTATGAGAATCTGCCAACAACAGAACAATAGAAGATTCTTGAACACCAATTCCTCTTCCCCATGAGGAGTGTTGGAAGAGAAATAAAATTCATATACAAAACACTTTGCAGACAGCCCATTTGCCAACACCTGGATTGTGGGGAACAGGGAGCTGTCTGGATAGATTAAAATTCGACAACCCTCAAATCTAGCTTTAGCCAATAGTCTCACTCTTCCTTCTGAGCAAAGACTCAAAAGCAGCTTTCATTGCAAGTGTTAGCAACAAACTACCTGTATTTGGAAGTGCTCTTCTTGCAGCTCAGCTTTTAATTGAGCTATTAGTGACAGGAAAATAGCCAGTGAGTGGGTGCTAGAGGAAGGTAATAAGAATTTCAGAGCTGTGACATTCCCTAGACTGGCCAAATTGCACCAGTGAGAGGGGAGCAGACCCTACTGGCTGAATCATGAGCCTCGTCAGTCCAGTATTTAAAACACCAGAATAAAGACCAGTTCCTGGAAATGTCCTTATTGTGCACTGGTGGTGATAGGGAGGGAGGTTTCTTTGCTGTTCACGCAAAACTTGGCATTGACCCCTCATGGTCTTTGTCCCTGCTGTTCCAATGGCCCTCCAGGAAGGAAATTCTCTGCAACGAGCTTTGCTTAGTTTGATTTAGTTTTCATACTGCCCTAGTTCATGTCACTCCCAGGTTTAAAACCTTCTAGTTGTCTCCCTTAGGTTCAGAACTCAGTATTGTTGGCAGGATTTTCTCCTCCTTCCTGCCCTTCAGTCAAACCACATTTTACTCTGTTCATTCTCTGCAGATGACTTTGTCCTGTTTAAGTGCCCTTGCACAAGCCCTTCCCTCTGCCTTCACCTGCCACCTCTGATTGTCCCCTACCTCATGCTTTTGTATCCATTAGGTCTCAGTTTAAATGTCACTTCCAAAGGAAGGACTTCCTTGAACCCTGTTGACAAGCTTGGGGTGCTTGTTGTATGCTCCCCTAGCATCCTGCATGCCCACTTTGGGACAGTCAGTTCACTTGTAATGTATTCAGTGTCTGTCAGCCCTGGAAGACCATGGTCACTGCACAGTACCAGGCCCACATTGGGTGCAGTTCATATTTCCCAAATGAGTGGATGAAGCTCTTTAATAGAGAAGATACTGTGTTCCTTTGCAGCCCTCTAACTAACATGGCACCCAGTAAATGTTTGTTCAAGTAAGATCAATGGAGAGGCAGTGGGCCAGGCCTTTCCCAGCGTGACCTGGATGTGGTAGCAGGCTCCCCACCTTCTCCCCATCTCAGTGAGAACCAGGTCTGAGTACTGCAGGCTGCTTGGGGAAGAGAGATGGTGATTATGAGGTAGGTCGTTACATCAGTCAGTCTTTTTTTTTTTTTAATTAAAGATTTATTTATTTATTTATACAAGCACTGGGTACAGTCAGAAGCGCGAGAGGGCGAGAGGATTCACAGAGTCAGATTGGGGAGAAGAACAGGCAGAAGGACTGAAGTACACTGCTGAGGGGAGCAGCGGGAGGCAGGAGAGGTCTGCGCGCCATGTGGGACCCTCGCCGGGGGCCGGGGATCGAACCGGTGCTGCAGAGGCTGCGGGCAGCATCGCAGCCCAGCGCTCAACCACTGTGCCACCAGGGGAGGCCCCAGTCAGTCTTTTTAAAAGAAAAAAAGAAGACAAATATGCAGATTCACGTGACAAATATTTTTAGAAATTAATGAACCTGGAACATTTTACTGCTTTATTTTTGAAATCTAAAAGAGACAACCAAAGGGCAAGAGAGGCAGGGATTGTGGCCTCCTTTGGATTCTGTTTGCAACCTTAGGCTTCTTAAAAGGTCCCTGTATGAGTGGTGTTATTGTTTTCAAGTGTATGTCTTGTTTTTGAACTGGGAGTGAAAATAATAATTTTTATGGGATGAAAATAAATACTCAACTGAGTATTAAGCACAGAAATGGATCTCAGGGCCTCAGATATCAGCCCCACCATCTGAAATGTAAATATCTCCTGAAATTCCCATTTAAGAGCAGATTTCACCTGCAAGTAGACTGTTATATCTTCCTGAAAAATATATACACTCTAGTGAGGGAATAAACACATCATTACACTTTCATGACAGATAAGCTTGGCTCTGTTCGGGTGTAAACTCATTTTTCTTGGGTTGACCTTTAAATAGTATTGTGCTATTGTATGGGATTTAAATCAATAATTTTGTCAAAGCAAAATATACTGCAGGGTTTTTTTTTCTTTATCATTTAAACAGTTCTGTAAACTCTCAAGGAGTAATGGATTTCAACATGTTGTCCCCAGGAAGGGAACAGGGGAGGAGGGGTGGCAAGGGGGGGATATAAAAACTCACTTAGCGGCAATGAGGCAGAAGCCCCGGATGGCTGCAGATCTGTGAGAGTCCCATTTTCTCTTCCAGGCAGCTGAGATGGAGGTGCCAGTGTGGCTGTAATTAGTGGTGTAATACCTTTTCTGCATTCCTGTTGTAAAGCAACAAAGTGTCCCAGGTGTGAGGAGGTTAAAATGAGAAGTACCCAGTAGTTACGAAGCAGCAATAATGAGTTTCCTTCTACTTACCATGGATTTGTGTGATATACAGCTTGCAATTAAGCATGGCTTGGTGATTCAGTGATTAATGTATATACAGCTCCTAAAGGAGGGAAGCCGCCCTCCCGTCACATCCTTCATGATGTTTACAGCTGGGTACCTATTAACAGGAAGATGGAAAGGGCCATTTACAATTCAGTAACCTTTATGACAGTGAACTCTTTAATCAGCATTTTATTTCCTTTGTAACACTTTAGTCATCTACAAATGTCAGAATAAAATAGGGCCATGAAATATTTAGGATCGGCATGTGGAAATTGACTTCCCTTGATTTAAGCTGCTGTGTCTTTTCATTTTGTTGTTTTGGGAGCTTTTACTTTTATTGAAAGACAATTTATAACTAAATGCTCCCAACAGTGACTGGCATTAGGGTAGGAGGAATTTCAGAGAGCCAAGTTCTGGTTCTATAAAATGTGTTGATGCTTGCTATATTGGGTAATAAGTTATTCAAATAAAAACATTAGCAAAGGGTTTGCATTTCAGAGCAGTATTTAGTCGAGGTACGCAGACTCTGCAGAGTTTATGACAAAATACCCCGACATATTTTAGAAAGGTAATTAAGTATGAAGTACATCCATAATAATTTAAGTCAGTTATAGTATGTACCTGAAACATGCATTATTGTCTCACATTATTTTCTTAGTGGGATTCTGGGACTTTTTCAATTCAACAATAACCACCTTTCAGCCTTCTTAGATTGTTACAAATGTATATAGTTTGTATTAGCAGAATTGCCACATTTATATTTTAAAAAGACCTTTAAACAGTGATAATGTTTTATTAAGCAATTGCATTATTTCTTATTCATATCTTTTTGTTAAGTCAACCCACTTGAAGCCCATGAACTCAAAGGTATCCCAAATGCTGTGTTTTAAAAATTAATCTTGGATCCTTAAGAATTTGCCGTAGTGCAGTGCTGCTCTTCCCCAGACCCCAAGGCTTCTTGGTGACCATTTCTTGACCTTGGGATGTACCTTGGTTCAGGGAGGTAGTTCTTTTTCAGGAGCACTGAGTTCCTGGTCTCATGTAGGCCATGTTGGACCGCCTTTCATACTTCTCTACAGGATACTGGGAAGGTGTTCCCTTTTCTTTCCTGCTGTGTGGAAACCAGTCATTGGGCCCAGCATGGTGCAGTGGAAAGGCCAGCAGTCTGAGTGCAGCCCCAGCCCTGGCAGGAGCCCACATCATGTCCCGACTGTCCTGAGTAACAAATTCCCAGTCCACCAAGTATAGCAAGTTGAGCTGGAATGTTAATGAAGAAAGTTGAAGTATTCCCAACTTGAAAGTTATCCCTACTATAAGTTCAGGGCATAAGATAGAAAGGAGGGAGACCCAAAGAATGGAAGTCTTTCTTCAACTTCACTGAGGTATAATTATCAAATAAAATCAGATTTTTAAAGTGTACATTGTCATTACTTTATAGATCTATGCAGTATGAAGTAATTATCCCATCTAGGTAATTATGATATCCATCACCTTATATATTTAGGGAAGAACATTTAGGTGGTGTTTGTCTAGGGGATGGAAGTCTAACTCTGAGTGAGGGAAGGGACCCAGGGCTTGGGATAGTTACAGGACAACTTTTTCTTTGTTTTTCATCTCACCTCCTGCGTAATCTCTAGCTGTCTGCAACAACTTGATTTTGAAATGGTTCTTTGGAACATTAAATGGTAGAAGCAAGTAGGATCTTAAAAATTGCTATAGGAGGGACTTCAAGACCTCAGACTGTGAAGATGGGAGTTTTCTCACTAGAAACAAGAATCTTTGAATACTAGAGGAGAAATAGAGTGACATCAGCAATGATGGTGGAAGCATGTGTGGGTGATGGGGAGCTACTGACTATAAGCATTCATGAAAGCATTGGGGGAAGGGTAACTGGAAAAGGAGCATGGGAGAGGCTTCAGGAGAACAACATTTCAAAAATGATTTTTAGTCCATCTTTTGCCTACCTTTTCAGCAGTGGTCCCCACAGTGGCATCTTGACTAACATGAAGTAATGGGGGTCTAAAAAATCTTGGTGGCTATAGGGTTTTTCTTCCAGATTTCTACCTTTTAATTCATTTAATTTCTTTATTGTAGAATTATTAAAATCATTTTTTAATGAAAAATGCATTGTGAAGTATTATCATAGAATGTTTGAAAAGAAAGAGTTATACCATAACTATTATGTGTTCACATCTTTGCCTTTTTTCCAGAGATAGTATGCTATTTAATGAAAATAGATCCAAGTGTCAATTTTGTGTCTTGACCTTTTCATGTTATGTTAGATCATAGGCATTTCGCTGTTGCTTCGTTATTTTTATAATCATCATTTTTGAAGACTGTGTATTATTCTACCAAATAAGCTTTCCATATTTTAAAAAATAAAACATTTTAAAACTTTACTATGGGCTATGTAGTTTGCTCCCACAATTTTTGCCATAGTAACAGAATAATATGTCTTCCTGCAAATGAATTTTCCATATTTTGGGTTATTTTCTTAGGAGTAGAGTTCCAGGTATGGAATTATTGACCTGAAGAAAGCCATTGTATTGAATCATTTGCCAGTTTATAGCTTCAAGTGTCTTAAAAACCTTAAATGAGTTTGTCCCAAGTTCTGGTCTAGGTATTTGCTCTGGGCTGAAATTATTTTCATTAGAAGTTTTTGTGTTTTTATAGAAAATTTTGGGTATTTTGAAGGCTCTTAAGTCTATAAAGTCATGTGGGTGACACCGTTCATTCAAAATTCTGCTTTAACAGGTGATAGAGAATGAGGAAAAAACAGACTGGAATGGGAAACTAGTATCATTGGGCATCCAGCGCATGTTAGGAACTATCAAGCATGTAATCCCAGTTAAAGTTGGCAGTCCTATGGATGGGGCAGTAGCACTACTTTTTTTCCCCCAGAAGAGGAAACACAGTTAGGTTCAGTGACCTACCTAAGCTCATCGGGTATCTGTGGAATCAGAATTTGACTTGGGTTCACCTGACCAAAGCAGGTGCTTTTTCTTCTCTGCCTCATACCCTTTCTTTAAAGAAAGTATCAGTAGGTGAAGCAGTAGTTGGGGACTCCACTGTACTCTAAGAGTGTCATGAAATGGTGACCACTTCCCCTTGGTATTATCAGAAACTCTTATTTTAGCCCCTGGATTTTGGCCTTTGTAGTGATTTCTATGCCCTTTTGGCAGACCCAGCTTTATGTAGTTCTCTTAAATCACAAAGCATAGTTTTGTTTTAATGTGCAGGGATATTGGAAATTTGTAGTAGACTGATTGAAAGGAAGCTAGCAGGATTTTCATAGGTTCTAAGGATGGAGTGTGTATGTGTTTGGGGGATCTCTTTGGGGGAGCTGGGGGTCTAGATCCTTTTGGTCCTGTCAGATTTTACTATCTCCCTTTGTATTTCCCTGTAGGCCTTGAGATGTGTCAGACAGGAGAAGAGATGACCTTGTTTGGAAAGTGAATTTGAGAACCACCGTTAATGCCGAGTCTGCTCAGACAAAAGGATGATCTGAAGGGACCAGGAAAAAGACTAATTGTAATAAAGTAAAAATCAAAATCAACAAGCAACTATAGACTAGAGACAAACTACGGGGTGGTGGGCAGGGAGGAGGAGAAGAGGGATTAGAGTTAGAATAAGGGGGGTGGGAATTGTATGAGGAATATAACCACAATGAAAATGCATACATTGTGCAAAGATGAAAAATGATGTAAAAATTATATAAAATATAATAATAAAAAAAAGGGTGATCTGAAAGAGCTGTTCAGGACCCTTACAGGAACTCTCCACTAACCTGTCAGGAACCAGAGGGAAATGATCATCCCTATAGATGATGAATTTGACTTGGGTTGGTCAGAGTTAAGGGAACAGTTCAAGGTCATAACACCCAAGATACCAGGCAGATTTAAAAGCAGGGGTCTCGATTGTCCCTACAGGGAAGAGTCAGTGAATGAGTGAACACAAAGGGGAGCTGACCAAGATGCCAAGCAGGGAGACCAGGGATGTCTGTGACTCAGCCTTCCTCAAGCTCCCAGGCTGGTCTGCACAGTCTCCTTTGAGGCTGCAAGAGAATTGGAATTAGTCCCCTGGGAGGATCATGCTTTGTGGCTTATGACAGGAAGGCTGAAGGAGTAGTGAGAAGCTGGGAGGGTGGTGGCCACTGGTGTTTGGGTCCCAGCATGTCTGTTCCTACCCTTGGCCTGCTGGTATAGCATTTAAACTGAAGCCTGCTGTTTCTCCCTTTTAGGGGTGAGGATGGGAATCTACGTGGGGTTTTATTCTTCCCCCTGATGATTAGGGCACGTTAACCCACATTCCTTCTGCTGCTTTGCCCCCTCTCGGTCAGGATTATTTAAATGTTTATCCTTCTTTACTTCTTGACCTTTCTTGTTCAGTCCTAGTTCCCAGGTCCCGCTTGTTTTGTGTTTCATGAGCTTAGCAAACCGTGGCCTCCAATTCCCTAGTTCTAGTGTTTTCACTTAAGATGAGGAGTGATGAGCCAAAGGTTTCAGGCTCAATCCTTGAGCAAAGGGCCGCTCTGACAGGGATTATTATTTATTTGTCATCTTGGATGTAATAAGCTGTAGGTACAGCTTCGAGAGCCCTTGATTTATTGCGCTGTCTACTGCCACTAGCGGGACGTCTGCTCCACCGTGCAGGATGAATACCACACTGTCAGCTTCGTCGATCTGTCTCCACCACTGCTCTCTCTCTCATAACACATTCCCATTTCATGCCAGAATACATAAACAATCTTTCATTATTTTGATGCCTTTTTCATATTTGTTCTTTACAGAACATAAAGTTTGAATTTATGGGTTTCCTTTACATTATTTCAACACACTCCACCATTTTCCGGGTTTGTGGTTTAACTCTCAGAAATTGGCTGCCAGGTGATTTAGTTATTTTGGCTTTCTAGTTTTATAGTTATTTAATATCGCAATGCCAGATACTGAGAAAATGGAGTGCACGGGAGGTGAGGGATTTGCAGTTTAGGCCTCTTGTCATCAAGGCAATGTGATCGCGGGGATGAGGCGTGGGGGTTAAAAATAAGCCATGTGAGATGGGAGATCAGTTGCTCAATTAAAAAAATATCCTACCTCAAAAACAATATTTAGAAGATTGACCAGCTCAGGACCTTGATGGAGCTTGAAAGACAAAAGGGAACATCCAGCAACTGCTAGGAATTAATTAAGGTTTCCTAAGTCTGTGATCAAAATACCCACCTGGTTTCCCCACCCACCCCAGTAGCTTTTTGGGTCTTTTATCCCCCCACCCCCCCATGCCTTCTCTTCTCAGCTTCTTGCATTTATCCCCTCTCCTCCTCATTTCTGCTTTTGAGCTCTGATAATGCTACCTAATTTTAAGGACTTCCTGTTTTTATATTTAGTTCTAATTGGTAAAAGAGCTTGTATTTGGAGGCATTTGCTTAGCAGTAGGAAATTACTGCCTTCTATTTCCTGGTAGAAGGGCAGCCTTGGGAAGAGGATCATATGCATGCTTTTTTGTTCACTTATTTGTATTTTCCTATTTTCATGGATCCCTCACCCAACCTTTCATTATCTTATTTTTAACCAAACATAGCAATGGTATACATTCTCTAAATTGGGCACTTTAATATTTTGATTAAAAGAAAAAGTTTCCCCTTATTTTCCTTGAAATCAAAATTTCAGAGAGATAGCAGTAGTAGAAACCCATAGAGCAGATTGCATTAATAATGCTAACTCTGGTGATAAGAACTTGACCTGTTCTTCATTTGTTTATGGGATATAGGTCAGGCCATGGAGAAGCCTGGTGAATTTCACTTCTCCTGGTGGTTCCTGACAAATAGAAGCCATTGACAGATGAGATTGTATTCCAGTCAAGGTCAATTAATTGTGCAGAAGTCATGGCATTTGGGAAGTTAAAGTCCTTCTCAGTGACAGGGCTAATTCGCGTTCCATGGCTAAAATTCTGGCTCCTTTGAGAAAGGCCTCTTGCTCAAGTGCTGTACTGGGTGTGTATGTCTTTGCCCTTCCACTCAGCCCTTTGAGAGGAGGGGGCTCAAGGTGAGACACGCTCTGCCATTAGAAGTTGTTTTGAACCCTGCCTCCTCCTTGAAAGACATTAATGAATGTGGATTTGAATGCCATAAATGCAAGATAATTTTGTCACTCCTCGCTTCCCTTGGCCGCCTTCATTAGAGAAGTCGGGAATTTGCTTAGCTCACATCGTGTGCCTTGCACAGGCCTGTTGTGGCTGGAAGGGAACCCTAGTTAATTAATATGAGAAATTTGTTTTGTGTCCCTGGTAAAAAAGACGGTGCAGGTTGGTGTTGTCAGCAGAAGCTGCTTGTCACTTTGACCTATTCTGTTAAGTGTTTGATGTGTTTTCTCAGAGTAATCTGTGAATAACATTATAGCCCAGCCAGAAGAGAAACCGAGGGAGCAATAGCAGAATTAATATCTGGGAGCGTTGATAATTATATATCAGAATCTAATTTTTAGCACAGAAAATGTGTTAATGACAGAGAGGAAAACAAAAACCACTAGCTTCTCCCAGCAGGCCCCAAAGTGTCATTTATTATTTCTCAGCTGGATATCTATCAAGTTTATGGGTTAATTTTTCTGTAGACTGTTATTTATGGGTTTTTGTTTGTTTTCAGCCATCATTACTAACAATACGGTTAATAGCAATCATTTGTTATCCAGCACTAGGCGTGATGCCTCAGATGAGAGCACTGAACTGAGAATACTCATTTGGTAGCTGAATAAGGCCCTGACAGGGCCCATTTATAACAAGCTCATTCTATAATGTCCATCCTATTAATAAAATTTTGTTGCTGTCTAATTAGAGATGTCTGATGTGTATAGTAGCTCTGCAGAGGAGACTTTTTGCTGCTGCCTTCCCCCCCACCTCTTCCCCTGGCCTCTCCTGTGACAGCCAAAGCACATCTGGGCATATGGGTTCCAGAAACAAAAGGAATGAGGAACGAGCTGTGAATGAAGGTTCTGGATTAGAATACGGCAATAGCACAGAGTTAAGACTGCAAGGCAGGAGGTCTTGCTGGCTCTCCTGTCCTCCTCTTTGCTTTTCATACTGTGGCTTTACCTGCCCTGGTTAGTAATTTGCAGCTTGTCTCCCAAATTCTCAGTGACACGAGGTGTGACCACAGGATACCGTGCTTGATTTCCTAATAAACACACCAAAATGTAAACATCTAGACCAGTGCTGAGCTCTTCAGGCATTGCCTTGAAAGGCAACACATTTCTAAGTCACTGTTGTTTCTCAGGGTCTTCTAGAAACTTCTCTTGGCTTGTTTGCCAAGGCTGTCTCTTTCATCCAATAAATAAGAGTTTGGGATGGTCCATTAAAACATCAATCTCAGGGCCTCCCCGGTGGCGCAGCGGTTGAGCACTGGGTTGCGAGGCTGCCGGCGACCGCTGCGGCGCCAGTTCGATCCCCGGCTGCTCCCCGGCCACCAGAGGAGGGTCCCGCATGGCGCGCAGACCTCTCCTGCCGCCCGCTGCTCCCCTCAGCAGTGTACTTCGGTCCTTCTGCCTGCTCTGCTCCCTGCTCTGGCTCTGGTGAATTCTCTCACCCTCCCGCGCTTCTGACTGTACCCAGTGCATGTATAAACAAAACAAACAAACAAACAAATAAATAAACATGCCTCTATAAAAAAAAAAAAAAACATCAATCTCAGTATGTTGTGGTTGCACTTTGGGGAGTGAGACTGATTTAGTTTAGTCCTTTTCATCTCTGTGGATCTTCCAGGTTTCTTTCCTTAATTGGAAAGAAGCTTTGGGGGCTGGGTGATGGGATGCACCCATCTGTTGGATAAAAAGTTGGGACCCCAGCAGCTCCATTTAAATCCTGCTGCCCTTACTTAGCAGTGGTATGATTTGAGGCAAGTTACTGAATTGTGGGAGTTCTAAAAAAGGTACCAATCCCTGGAGAATGGATTAATGCAAGGATCAAATAACACATGTGAAAATGCTTTGCAGGTAGTAATACCTCCTAAATGCTGGCTATGATTGTGACTGGTTACAATTCACTGTTCTTCAGAAAACTATTTAGAAAAAATGTAACCCAGTGAGCTCCTTTATTTTAAAGTCATCTTAATGTTTTATAAATTGTTTTACTAATTTTATTGCTTATATTTTAAGTGAACTTTTGTTTCCCACTGCAGAAGTAAGATTTAAAGAAATGTGCAGCATTAAAAAGTTTTTATTACCCTGATTATGGTGTGTTTTGAAGTTTGCCCTGTTTAGGGGGTAAAAAGGAGTCTAAAATTCAGGGAGGAAATATTTTATTAATTCGCTGGGCGCTCTGAAGTGTACACCTTTGAATTAAAGAGCACACAATCAGGCAGTATGTTGAAGAATGTTTTAAAATAGTTTTGTTGCTAGGTAACTATTTTCTTCTTTAGTAAGCTTGTCCCCCCTACCCGGTGAAATGTTTTGCAAATGACCTTTTGAATAAAAATGATCATCTAATATTTTTCTCTTAGCCTATCTGTTTGATTTTGAAGGCAAAACTCTTAAAAAAAAATAAATCTAGTACTGCAAAATTTCCATCCTAAACTGGGAATGAAAGTGCTGTGTAGTGTTGGACTGGCAAAGGTCTGGGTAGTTGGCTGTTTTTTTTTAACCTAAACTGCACTTGACTACAGCTTATCAAGCCTTAATTAGTACTACATTTTCTCCCTGTGATTTCTATTGATGTGTGGTACAGGAAACTGGATTGAGCCTCCACCTGACCGGTGTGCAAATTGTTCAAGAAAATTCAGCAAACATCTCTCTCCATTACTCACCCTCCACCATGTCTCCCACCTCGATCCTCGCCCCCCCACCCCGCCCCACCTTGTGTCGGTCTTTCTTTCATTCCCCTCAATAGAAAAGGTGAAAAGCAGGACGATAGGAATCAGGTTGAGTATTAGTGTTTTTGCTGCCTGTGCAATAGAAAACGACAAGCAGCCGACTGGGCCCAAGTCAGCAGATCGGGAAACAGGGAGGAGGTGGCGGGTGGGGGCTCCCCCGCGGCCTCGGGATGGCTGCAACGTGATTGTGAGAGCCGGGATGAAGTCAGCACTGACAAAGTGAGGGGATTGATGGATGGACAAAGCAGGGAACTGGATGTGAGAATAGATGAGGGCAGAGGGGGAATTTAACACAGACAAACAGAATGAAAGACAGAGAGGAATTGCCTGCTGAAGTATGCCCGCCCTTAGCTCCCACAGCAATTTACTTACTGCTAACTGAACACCCAAGGATTGTTTGCATCTTTGCAGATTTTCTCCCAGCCATGGCAGAGGGAAGCTTGCAGATTCCATCTACGATTATGTGCCAGGCTTTCTCTTTCAACCTCATCTTGCCCCCCAAACTATGTTTACTCACACTCATTTAATTCAAACTGAGCGACTGATTATTTCCAATAAGTTCACACAGTGTTTCTACAGAATAAATTTTCTCTCCCTGCCATTCTTTTTAATGTTTCCACTAAATTTACCTTAATCAGTTATTGTTGCCATAGTGTCGTAAATAATAATATTTACCTGCTCCTTTTAAAATGGTGTTTCCAGAAGGAGATCTATTGTTGCTTTATGAAGACATGTGATAGTGATGATAATGCATGCCTGCTTTGAGCAGGAAAATCTTAGTGCTTTTCTACCATTACCCAGTCTCTATATATTACTGAGTGACTCAATATTTAGTGCTTTAAACAATTTAAGGTAGAAAATCTTTAACCCAAGTCCCAAATATGTTAGAGTAAGCAAAGAAAGAGTTTGAGGGTAGATCACAGGTTAAATGTTCTTACCACAATACAACAAAATTTAAAAAAAAGTAGAGAAAAAGGTGAATCATCCCTCCCATGAAAAATATATAATATTGCATACATGAATAATAGGATGACTATTTACGAAACGGCATTTTCAGAAAATAGGAGCATGAGGTCAAAAAGTGATTTGGTTAAAATATTAACAACTGGGGATTATGTACAAAGTAACAGAAGATAAATCATTATTGTAATGGAATGCCATCCTCAGATATAAGTTTAAGATTTTATTTTCTTGTATGACTAAAGAGAGTGATGTTCTGAGACCAGTTGATTTAGGGGCCTTGGAAAAGAATTAGTGTTACCAAAATTCCAAAAGAGAAGCCAAAGACTGATCACCATCCCCCCAAGAATCCCCCCTCAACCACCCGCCATATAATGGGAATGGTCATTTATCCATAACTTAGCACTATCCAGGCCTCAATGTGGTAGTCTCAAAATAATTCTCTCTATTTTCAGTATATTCGTGGAATCTAGTACCTCATGAAGCTCTAGAAATCTCATTTTGGAATACATTGTAGGAAACATTCCCTCCATTTCCTTCTATTATCTCCCCCACATCTCAGTTTCTTTTCCCAAAGAAATGGCCTGGAAAGGTAAGAGCCTCTGATTATTTTACTCTATGTTACCAAAAAGGTTTTTTTTTTTTTTCCTCTCCTTGAGACTCTGGTTTACATGTCCACACACCTGGCTTTGAAGCTGATGTCTTTCTTGTAACACACCTGCAAGTGTATTTGTTGCTCTCCTCAGATCCATGAAGACTCAGTGTCTGAGGTGGCAACAAAATTCCAAGCATGACTGGACCTTGGAGGCCTCAGAATGTCATAATAGCTATCTTTACTACTAAAGCAGGGTCTTGGGAGAAGGGCTGGCTAGAAATGAAAGAGTGTTTTTTAAAAATGAAATTAATAAGCTGTCTATTGTGTGGAGATCCATGAGGCATATTTTCAGGCCTAGCATAGATTATCTATCACTCCGAGGATGTTCAAAAGTGGATTTGTCCTCTTCTTCACACCCACCTTCATGTGCAGATGGAAGTTGCAGCAGCCTGGCAGCCATGCCACCCGCAGGTGCACATCCAGCATCATTATGGGATAATATGAGATCAGAGCTGGCTAACCGCTTGGAAATTATATCGTATATTAATCCTGGTATTGAGTAATTTTTCAAAGGTTGAAAAACTTGACAAGTGATAAAATTAAGTTTACTCAGGCAGGCTCATATGTGGCCTAGAGATACAGCTCAGTGTAACAGGTCACAGAGTTGTGGTCCCTTTTGAAAACTAGAACCTGGAGTATTTGAGGTGACTTGGGGAAACTTTTGGGCAAAGGATGGTAGGTCTTCTCACATGAATGTCCCTATTTTGTGATCCTCACATCCTATTTATCAGCATGTCTCTTAAGAATCACTACACTCCTGCTTCCCAGAAGAAGGTTAACAGTGCCTGAGTCCATCTCCCCAGATTCTTACACTGTGGGCTAGGGCAAGGTCCATGCCAAGTTATAGAGCCATATATTAAACTGCTCAGGAAGATTCTTTTTTGTTACCCTCTTACAGTTGGGTACTTAGGTTATGTAACTTTTTCTCTATGTGTAACTGTGATGAAAGTTGATCTAATGAGTAATTGATGATCACTTGATGATTTCTTAAATTAACATGTTAAATTACCTTTAACCCCTCTTTCCATTCATCTGTCCACTCACCCATCCTTTCCACTCATTCCTGTTAATAAACACTGGACTTACCCTGGTTTCAGAAGACCAAATCCTCTTCCATATGAGTGACTTCTTCCTAAAGTTTTCATGAGTTAAAAATTTTCATTGAGACACTGCATCTTTCACTATTATTAGTGATGTTAGTATCATAATCACCTACTTCAGGACTATCATTAACTGAGGGATAGAAAGGCATTCCCAAGCCATGCAGTAGGAAAGGAATCATTCTTAAAGATAAGAAAGACACACATGGAGTGATGATCTTAGTGCCCATTACAACCAGAACAATTCTTCTTTTAGGGTATATCATATCAGCCCCCCCCTTTTTTTTTAAGGAAAGTCTGCTAGATAGTTGATCTACTTTAATACCATTCCTTCCATAGATGAGAAGTTTAAAGCTTAGAAATGTCCAGCAATTGATATCCTTCACAGTCCCCTGTCCCTTGCTGCCTTATTCCCCTTTAATTGCAGCCACACTATAATGCTCAATTCCATAAATAAACTTAAATCCTTGAGAGAAGGAGAAAAGATTTCTCTTGTTCAGCTGAGTCTTAGTCTCCTTTTTTGGGGGTCTGACAGAATGTTGTGCCTGTGCTTATTAGCAGACATGTGCGTATTCATTTGCTATTCATTTGTCACAAACCCCCAGCAAATATAAAAGTTGCCAATTGAAAAGTGTCTATTGCTATGAATTTTATTGCTGATTAGTTATCAGTGAAGACTCTGGTACATGTTCTGCTGGCTCAATACTAAGCAAATATGAACATCTCTAGGACTCATTTTCCTCAGTTATGAAGAGTGTTCAATGAATCTACATCTGAGGGCATATACGGTTCCACTTTGGGTTCAAGGAAAACACTATGAAAGGAGTAATATGAGTTTCAAAAGTTGAAATTATTCCTAGGAGATCATGTGGAGTTTGGATATCAAGGTAGCTTTCATATAAGAACTGAAATATGTGCTGGATTTTAAAGACAGGATTTTTTTTTTTAATTGAGGTAACATTGGTTTTTCAATACTGTACATGACTCAAAGGTATAGGACCACACTTCTTCAGGTGTGTGTTACCATACTACACCTATTGTTCTCCAGCATAGTCCATTGGGCTCCCTCTGTGCTTTGATCTCTACCAACACCCTCCAGTAGCCTCAATTCTACAGTCAGATTACTAGGGTGTGTTTCTGGTTTGGTTTCGTCTCACACTTCGTTTTGTTGCTCTGTTTCCACATATAAATGAAACCATCTGTCTTTCTTTTTTTGAGCTATTTTGCTTAGCATAATTCCCTTCAAGTCTATGCATCTACCCATGTTTTCACAAATGGAAAGTGTTCATCTTTTTTTTATAGCTGCATACCATTCTATTATGTATATATGCCACATCTTCTTAATCTACTCATCTTTTCTTCAGCACTTAGTTTTCCATAATTGGTGATCGTAAATATTGCTGCAATGAATGTAGAAGTGCATATATCCTGTAGAATTAGTGTTTTTTTGCATTATTTGGGTCAATATTTAGGAGTGGAATTGCCGAATCATATAGTATATCTATTTTAAATATTTTGAGAAACTGTCATACAGTTTTTTCATAGAGGCTGGACCAGTCTATATTCCCACTAAATGTGTGTGAGTGTTCCTTTCCTACCCCCATCCCCCCATTCTTACTGACACATTTGATACAGGCCATTATATCAGGTGATTATCACACATTGGTTTTGATTTGCTTTTCCCTGATGATTAGTGATAATGACCTTTATTATTATTATTTTTTTTTCATGTGCCTATTGGGTATCTGCATGTCTTCTTGGAGAATTGTCTTTTTAGCTCTTCTACCTATTTGTTTTTATTGGATCATTTGTTTTCTTTTAGTTGAGTTGTATGAGTTCTTTGTAGATCTTGTAAAAATGGGATTTAAGGGCCACCCCTGGTGGCGCAGTGGTTGAGTTCTGGGTTGCGAGGCTGCCCACAGCCTCTGCAGCGCCAGTTCGATCCCTGGCCACTGGTAAGGGTCCCACAAAAAAAAAAAAAAGATGGGATTTAAATAAGCAGAGAAGAGGTGGGGAGAATATTACAGGAGTGGGGATAGCATGAGCAAAGAGAGACAGGAAAATAGAGAAGAGAAAGGAGATCTGTTTTCTTGGCACAGCAAGCAGAGAAGTGAGATGAAGGTGGGAAATACCAATGAATTCTACTTCTTCATTCTTTCCAAAAATTTAAGAGTCCATCATGTGCCTTGAGGAACTAATACTTTAGAGGGAAGAGACAGATGATAGACAAATACATGTGTTCACTTATGTTATTGGTAAGAGTGATGACAAAAACTAAATAGAGAGTAGAACATGTAAAGGCGAGTGTCTGGCTCTTTGATATGGAGTGATGAGAAAAGGTCTCTTGCATAACATTTGAGCAGAGAATTCAGTGATGTCAGGAAGAAATCCATGATGGTAGTGGGAAAAGTAGAGCAGTGAACATAAAATACTAAGGTAGGAGTGGACTCTAATCTGTGGAACAGGCATTGGTTGCCTATCCAATAACCACCCAGGCCTGCTTTGTGTTTTCTCTTAGAGCCATGTTCATATAGTTAATCTTTCATGTCATGAGAAGTACTTCTTCCCCAGTGTCAGAGGGTAAGCCATGATTGGTCTAAGTCAGTCAGAGTAACTCTATTCCCATTTCCTTTGATTGGTTTGGGTATTGGCTTGTAATCATGTTATGGCCGATGGTCATGCAGTATAGTCTTCTGTACAGTGGGGGCCTCTAGGAAATTTTCCTTTTTCATAAGGAGAAAATCTCTGCTGCTCTGCTTCAGTGGGTATGGTTGTGTCTACATGTGCTGCATGGAATTGCAACGGCCATCTTTTGCCCATGAGGGGAGGTTTTGAATTAAGGGTAACAGAACAGAAATATGAGAAGCACTTGGGTCCTTAATGATCACAAACTGTCAAATTAACTCTGTAAAAGCATACTACCTTCTTTTGTTAAATAATAAGCCCTTACTATTGAAGCTACTTTTAGTCCTATATTCTGTTATTTGCAACCTAAAGCACCCTAGTGGGTTTAAAAATCTTTGAACAGTGTTATTTATCCAATGTACTTCATTTA